CTATTCTATTCTATTCTATTCTATTCTATTCTATTCTATTCTATTCTAACCATGTTTTTCAAAATCCCTATCGTATCTATTCTTGAGAACAATTGGTGTCTTTCTGAAAAATAAGTACGATCTTCAGAATTAATATTTTTTGTTTTCATCGATCTACTAGTGTTAAAATATCCATCAAATTAAAAAAAGTCTGTGATAATTTTCCCTGAATGGTAGGGAAAATTATCACACACTTTTTTTATTTGATGAACATTTTAACTCTAGTTAACTTCTAGTTTATTTTCTTCTCAGATAGTCTATTCAATTGCAGAGGGATAGCACCATTCCTGTCACCCATCAGGCAGCAATTCTAATACAAAAGGTTTTGTTTCATAAATTGTTTATTAAAAATATCTTTAATTTTATTTGGTGCATAAAGTCCCAAAACAAAAGTTTTAGCAGAATAACAGAATATAACAGAATATTCTGTTATTCTGTAAAAACCTTTTGTTAAAACAAGTTCAGTTCAGTTGTTCAGTTGTAGTTCAGTTTTCACTTCTATAAATCTACCAACCTCACCGGTTATTTTTAATTGTGGTTTTAATTAGGGATTAACTTATAGAACAAGTCCATTGTTTGTTGTTTGTTTGATCCTGCCAAAATGAATTCATCTCCAAAGTTTTTACAAATCAAATATTTCATGTCTTTATTTCAAATGCATGCTTCTTGTAAGGAAATTACATCTTGTTTAATTTTTTCAAATACTTCTTTTCCCTTTTGTGAATGGAATTTGCCCCATTTACATTCCAAATTATGTGTATATAAGGTTAAGTACACAATTTAAACAAATCTGTGCTTGTAGCACCCAATTCCAAATTGTCTTGTTACCAGCAGATGGCAGCTAAAGTCAATAAAACAGACTGTCTGCAATGCATGTACTGATCTAATTATAATAATCCTAATCGTAACCAGTACACCCAGGTGAAATAGTATAGGAGGTACTATGGGAAGACAAACTTGGTATGAAAATAAAAGAGTTTAGAGTCAGAGATTTATCAAAAAGTTTTGTTTTATAATTAAAGGGAAGACTACACTTCCCCCCCATTATTAACTTTCTGATATTGTTTTAATTGTCCTGCTTTTTGTGAAATTTTTAACAACGTTTAATTAAAAGACATCTCCAGATTGTAATAATTAAAAATAAAAAAATAAAAAAACCCATCTCCAAAGATAAATACTTCAGTCCTTTCCCTTATTCTGTTCAAAGTCTGCGTGAAAGCACTGCATTATCAATAAGCCAATGATAATCAGTTTGATTATCTGATTCGGAGGTGTGGTGAAAGTCATGCCCTTGTGTCTGTGTGGCTAGGGTGAGAAAACAGGCTGAGATTCAAGCAAAATAAGGAAAAATGGTTGTTAATACAGAGACCAACAGTTATCAGGGCTGTACCATCTTTAATTCTTGATGGGATTTTCCTACCCTAGACAAAAAGTCAAAATGTCTTCATGATATTTTTGAAACATTATTTAATCAATAGGTTAGGTACTGTTAGAAGTAAAATCCAGTCTGGTTCCAAGCAGGGAGAAAGACACAGGAGTAATGGATTTGGAGACAAGCTGCGGGAAAGGAGGTCTCCATTTATTTAGGAATCAAAAGCTGTGAGAGGGATCTTGGAGTCTTAGTGGACAACCAGCTAAATAGGAGCCAGCAGTGTGCAGCAGCAGCCAAAAAAGCTAATGGAACCCTAAGTTGGATTAACAGAGGGATACAATCAAGATCAAGGGAGGTACTAATACCACTCTATAAAGCCTTAGTAAGACCACACCTAGAGTACTGCATCCAGTTTTGGTCATCACACTATAAAAAAGATGTTGAGACTCTAGAAAAAGTGCCGAGAAGAGCAACCAGGATGATTAGGGGACTGGAGACTAAAACATACAAAGAACGGTTGAAGGAACTGGGCTTGGCTAGTCTAGAGAAGAGAAGAACCAGGGGAGACATGATAGCAGCCTTCCAGTATTTGAGGGGCTGCCACAGGGAGGAGGAAGGGGTCAAGCTATTTTCTAAAGCACCGAAAGGCCAGACAAGGAATAATGGATGGAAACTGAACAAGGAGAGATTTAACTGGGAACAAGGAGAAACTTTCTGAAAGTGAGAACAATCAACCCATGGAACAGAAGTTGCCCTCAGAAGTTGTGGGAGCACCATCATTGAGACTTTCAAGAAGAGATTGGACTCCCATCTGTCAGAAATGGTGTAGGGTCTCCTGCTTGGGCAGAGGGTGGACTAGAGATGACCTACAATGTCCCTTCCAACTCTGATTATCTGTTATCTGTTAGCTAAGTGATTCCAATCTGGGAGATAGATGCAGACCCCAATGAATTTGGAGGCAAGCTGCAGGAAGGGAAGTTTCCATTTATTTAGGAATCAGAATCTAAGTGACTCAGCATCAGTTCTGGGTCAGCTGAAATACTGGCATGAGGAGTAGAAGTGATTTTTATATCCTTTTGGACCTTTGGTATTGAGATGCCTGGTGGGGTTATTTGATTAGATTAGTATTCTAACTGTCCCTATTTGGTTTCCTGGGTGGTGATCAGGGTCCAGTCTAGCCTTGGGGAAAGGTGGGGAATATAAATTCTGTGCGGCTTTGTGTTTGCTGACTTAATCCTTAATCCTGTCAATCCAGCCTGTCTCAACCTTTGAATTGGGGATACTTGAGGCTATTCTGGCTGGGAGGCAGGGATTGCTTTAGCTTCCAGGGATGGTTTTTCTTTGTCTTCTCTGGGGGCATAGAAATACAGAGGGGTGTGTGTCTTATGAATCTTCCTACAGTGCATACAATGAAATGAATTGCAGAAACGTAACAGAATAATAGAATTGGAAGGCACCTTGGAGGCCTTATGATCCAAACCCCCGTTCGACATTTCAGACGAATGGTTGTCCTGTCCACTCTCTTTTTAAAAACCTCCAGTATTGGAGCACCCACAACTTCTGGAGCAGAGGTGGTATTCAGCAGGTTCTGACCAATTCTGGAGAACCAGTAGTGGAAATTTTGAGTAGTTCGGAGAACTGGCCAATCCCACCTCTGACTGGCCCTGCCCCCATCTCTTCTCTGCCTCCCGAGTCCCAGCTGATCGGCTGGGTCTTCTTTGGTTGCCCTGCACAGGAGAATGGAGCTGGCAAGCAGGTTAGTGGGGTGGGGAGGGAATGGGGATTTTACAGTATCCTTCCCCTGCCATGCCCACCAAGCCAAGCCACACCCATCAAGCCACGTACACAGAACCAGTAGTAAATTTTTTTGAATCCCACCACTGTTCTGGAGGCACTGATTAATTGTTGAGTTAATTTCCCGTTAGGAGAATGAGCACCTACAGGGAGACGTATTTGAGAGAAGTGTTTGAATAATACAGCACACAGATACACTATACAGTAAATGTAGGTTTTTACTTCTGGAAAGGTTTAAAGCAAAGTTCAAAATAGGCAGTTCAAAGTCATTCACAAGTTAAATCAGTCAGTTTTCAATCCAGGGATAATTTAATAACAAATTCCAGTGTCAAAAACAGTTCAGTCTTACATCAAAAACATGAATATCAGTCAATTAGAAAAAAATGGAGGAACGGCAATACTCTCCGACAGAAGGAAACAGAGATTCACTGAGACACATTCTCTTCTGAGACTAAGAGTAAAACAACCCAGGTTTCTGGCTCCATCTTATGGCCGTTTGAGTAACCACACCCAATTACAGTTTTTGCATTTTCTTAAATAGACAGTATTAAAATGTCTATCCTGGTTTAAATATTTCTAACCCAAATACCTGTTCGGTGACTTATATTCCTAACATTAATTATTCTAACTCTCAAGAAATTTCCCCTTAGTTCTAAGTCGGTTCTCTCCTCGATTAGCTTCTATCTGTTGCTTCTTGTCCTGCCTTCAGGTGCTTTGGAAAATAGATTGACACCCTCTTTTGGGGGGGCAGCCCCTTAGATATTGGAACACTGCTACATACTCTATATTCACCTCTAATCAAATTTAGCATTTGAAGGGGAAGAGTTGGGATGTTATCCTAATGTCTTGAAAGTAGAAGTCTTCACCTACCACTTCAAATTCCTTTTCTAGGATCATTGCAAAATTGGGCAAACAGTTACCGAATAGGCAAAATGGGTTATTACAGATGTTCTACTTTAACTTTATTTTTCTCATAGGAGCTTTTGGGAGAATTGCACGTGCACACGTAGGGGGTGTGGGGATGCATGCATTGCTTTCTGGGTGTTGGTAGTGTGCAAGCGTGCGCATAATTTTTGGCACAGGAGCCCAAAAAAGGTTAGCCACCACTGCCCTATACCATTCCTTTGATCCCTCTTTCAAACCAGAGGTCCGCTCTGTCCAAAATGTGGACTTTCCTGTCTTTGAAAGAGTGGCCAGCTATCTGCAAGGAATATAAACCCTTCCATTCCCCACATCCAGTCAGAGCTGAAGAAGCTTCTTGGATGAGAAGTGAAATGTCTTCAAAGAAAAACCAGAAAGACCAGTTGTCTCTCGAAAAAGCACCTTTGGCACAACGAAGCCTAGCATTTTAGCAGTTAAAAAACCCACCGTGGATGCTTCCCTGACATTTTGAAGGAGGAGAACTTCACCCACCGGGTTCAAATGCATACAATCATTGCAAAGTGGAGCAAATAGTTAATGGATAGAGGCAAAATGGATTATTGCTGATTTGTTTCTTCTCCTCCTCCTCCTCCTCCTCCTCCTCCTCCTCCTCC